TTTGTAAAGTAAGTTGTGGTAGTTGCAACTTCAAATGTATCAAAGTGAAAGGTCCCAAGTTTCCGGGGGTTATTTTGGTAAATTCTCCACGTGTACACCCAATACGATAAATCTTTGTTTGCCTTCCACTTTTTCATTTTTATAAAGAAATGGTAAAATTTCATATTGCATGCATCACCATAACTATAGTGTCGGAAGGTAACCATGTTCACCTGGTGTGCAAATAAATGCCCCTTAGCCATTTTTTAGCTACCACTAATCGGATAGGCAAATAATAATAGTAATAATAATATATTTATTACACACATAAATGGCACCAGGACCACAATTATCCGAGCCCCGATTATCCGATCCTCCGTGTTAACCGAGAATCATAAATCTTAAGGAAATTCCATATTACAGAGGTGGAAATGGAAGTGTCCGCTTTATCCGAGCCGAACGAGTTGCGCATTTCTGGCTCAATATGTATGTAGATATGTGACTAGTGCTTTTGCTTTATCCGAGGTACGTCTCACGTGACCTCGGATAATCGATGCAAAATCTTAAAAAATAATTCGTTTGTACTGCAACACAAGGTAGGATCTAGTGGTTGCTCACTTATATGGAAGCTTAAGCTGAATTCTCATTATAACAGCAATTTTTTTACTTGTTGATAATAGTGAAATTTCCGGTCTGAAAGGACCTTCAGTGGTTGATATTTTTGATACTAACTCTGTGATCTTTTCAGTTACCTTCACGACGCGTTTTGCGGATATACAGTGCGCGGACATGGGTATCCCATCCTCATGGCGAGGGAGCGATCTAAAGCTTGGCCGGGTAAGTCTAATAAATGTAATTCTCATAACGCGCCACCATACAATAAAAACCAAATTAAATTATGAGCAATTATTATCTATCTGTGGCTTTCAGTTTCTAATGATGACACTACATCTCTCTTTTGCATAAAGTTTTGTAGGAGTTGTGTTCCTACTAATTTCACACACTTTTGTGTGAAATCGAACTTTGTACTCCCAATCTGCCAATCCCAACGATCATTTTCTTACACTAGCGCCCTGTAATTCCAGAACCTGATTTGTCACATATTAATGTTAATCGGCTCTCACGATCGCAATTAACTTCGTAAAAAAACTGCAACAGGATTTTTGGAAAAGATACTCTCTTGATTATTTAAACACCTTGCAACAGCGTTACAAATGGATAGATCCTGTAATTGTAGTTGAGCTCAATGATTTAGTTTAGTTTTAATAAAAAATGGAAAAAATCCACCACTTAAATTACCTCTAGGTCGGATTATTGAACTCGTTCCTGGTGATGACGGGAACGCTTCCAAAAATTCTTGGAAATTTTTTTAGGAATATCACATTAAACTTGGTGGTAGTAATTTTAGAAAGTTTCCTAAGACGTTAACTGAAAGCTATTTGCAAAATATTCTTAGGAACTACTTCTTTATTCGAATGTGAATTTATTTCTATCTATTTTATAGAAATCATCTCGAATACCTAAAAAAAATTCACAAAAATCTTCTTAAATCATCTTTGCCCTAACCTTTAGATTTCACCTTTTTTATAATTCTCTTCTAAAATATGTGTAAGGGTTTTGTTTGCAAACGGCGAATTATTTAATAAATGTCCTGCCGTCACTATTGTTCACTCAAATTTGTGTTTTGTTTCAGGAGACAGATGAACGCCAGCTTCCGGTAAGTGCTTTTCTTATTACCTGGGTGTTGGAATTTGCTAACATGTCAGTGATTAGTGAATAGTGCAGGAAGATCGACAGCGAAAGACTTTTTGGTATAGGTATTATACTGCTAGATGGGGTTACAGTGGGCCTCCAAATCAATCAGCTTGAAAAAATCACTTTACCGGTTCTGGGTATAGCTATGAATTCATACTTATGCCTAGGAATACTAGGTAAACTGATTTTTTTTGTGTAGTTCCTACACCAATCTGGCTGATTTGGATAGTTCGCAATAATATCTCATATAGTATGTATTACAGCAGGTAAGCAGTTTTTGAAATTGGTGATGGGTTGGTTGCTTTGAAAAAAAATGGGTTGAATGACTGGATATGTATGAGGTAACTTTAATTCCTAGTTAGGTACCTTACTACTTTTAAACACGGTATGGCTCAGTTTTCAGAGAACTTCTCCTGCCTTTCTTTCTAACATAAGTTGTAATTTTAAAATATTAGAACGGTGAGGCCTCCACCTTATACCTTTCGTACCCCTTTTGTCCGATCAGATTTTTTAAGGAAACGAAATTGTCCTTTAGGTAGAACACTAAGTGTGGGTGCATGCATGATACTTTTATTTAGATCTAAGTAATTCGTTTTCTATTTAAGTTTGTAGTAATCAATCACGGTAGCTGGCATAGAAAATTGGTAAAGAGGGATCGGACGAAAAAACTGTTTTATTACTAAAACTTTAACTTACAACTTAGAAATGGTCAAATGTGACCCAATGGGTAAATCTTTCGAAGGTTTTGTAATATTATTTTTACATTTATTCAAATTCTTTAAGACATTCGAAAGATTTTGCGTGCAAACAAAAGCGTCAAAAATTAAATTATTTTCATTCTTTAATTCTAAATTTAATTGAGTATTCACAAACTATATTTTATCAATCACCATGGTGAATATATTGTGCACATGTTAGGAGTGAGAGGGGGGCAACCTTGTTTTATATTTTTTTATATGCAAAAAAATGCTGGATTTGCTTTAAAAGACTTATAGGCGCTCGAAGGTTTTATTTCGCATTAGGTAGGTTTGATTTACAGAAGGTTCCTTGAATTGCAGCTAGAGATTGCAATAATTTGATGTCTGTAATAAAGCATCAGGTAAATTAACAGAGCGCAAAATATTGAAAATTGTAGGATTTTAAAAAATAGCTTAAGTGTGTAAGTCGACGATGAGGACCCTTATCATTTGGTTCATTAATTTTTTTCATTTTACTTAAGACTACTAAATGATAATTGAGTGGTTTAGGACTCAGTGTTTCTCAACGGGAGCCATATGGCCCCCTGCCATGACGTATTTCTTCACGAAGGAAAGACAAAATATGGGGCTACGGAAACTTTTCAGTGGGCCACGAAAATTCACTTCTACAATATCTTAAGGTTGAGAAACACTGGTTTAGGTGAAGAAGTTGAATCGTGGTATACCAATTAATATCTGTATCTCTCCTTTGACGTTACTGCAGTCAAACTTTGGCGGACCCAAGCGGATGATGATCAGCCTAGATTCCAATCGTCTCCTTTTTTAGGAAAACACGGTACTTTTCTTTGACTCATCGTTGAGTAATTACTTCGTGTCTCATTTCAGTGGGTAACGACCACCCTTGACTTTCAGGTACCACTTTTTAAATGTTTAAAGATTGGCTATTCTGTCTATCTATCTATTCACAGGGGAGCCCGAATGGGCAGCACTTAGGCACACCAAAGGCCCATTGTGCAGCTCACCCTCTTCCTTTCGCAACTGGGTTCAGAGCCCGTTCCTCTCCATAAAAGATAGGGCCCGTTTAGCCGTCACAGTGGCAGACCACATGCTCGGTAGTTTCATCTGCTTCGCCACACAACCTGCACGTGGGCTCCTCCGCAAATCCAATGTTATGCAAGTGATAGTTGACCATCCATTGTCCCGTAAGGATAATCTTCTTAATCTCGCTTCTACTCAGTTTTAGAAGCTTAGTAGACCCTGATTTGCCAAGGGTCCGTATTAAAAAGGCCCTGGACTGTCTGAGTCCGGTTACCTGTTGCCACTGAACCTGGAATTGACCGGTCAACTATAACCTTTAATCCTGACGCTGTTTATATGTAATAAACAACCGATCGGCATTTTTCTCATATGATGCTTACCCATGGTAACCAATAAAGTGGATATTTTTAACACAGGATTCAGGTAAACGACATAATAATGTCTATGTCTATTTTATTTACTGTTTGAAAACATCTTGATTGTTATTCTGAAAGGTTTCTGCATAACTGCATTATTTAAAATAACACTTTTTTGTTAAAAAAAATGTTAGTGGTGCTGTAAGTATACTTACATTCGTATCAAAATGAATATAACGCTTTGCTACTATTGCAACTGATGAGAACTGATAGCAAACTTCTATAAGCATAACTAAAATACGCAGAGTACCTACCTAGGGTGTACCTATTTATCGTGGAGGAAGGTACAGCCCTCTGCATCTCAAAATGGAGGAAGGAAAATATGATCCGCGCAGAATATGCTCATGGCGAAAGATTTTGGTCAACCTTCAGCAAAGGAGCAGACATAAGGCATAAGCATAAGTTCTACTGAGTCACATAATTAAACACTATTCTTACCCGAAGCTTGTATTTCTTGTATGAATCTTAATAAGACAGAATAAGTTCTACTGAAGCACACAATTAAGCACTATTATTACCTGAAACTTATATTTAATCTATGACCACTACTCTGAAAAATATTCTAGAAATTCTCTAATTGAAACAATTTTCTACTCTGAAAAATATTCTCGAAATAACATAATTGAAACACTTCTTACCTATTATCTATAATACGTATTATTCTAAAAATGAAAAGCATTCTTCTTTCTTCTGCATAAGCATCTCTTACTATAAACGATTGTCACAATTTATATTTTGCTGTGAGCTGTTAATTTCGCGTAGACCACAAGGACCTCTTTCAAGAAGAACTCTCATTGAACGATGTAAGTGTTTTATATTTACCTTTAGTTGGCTTTGTGATGTTAAGCATTTATTCCGCGCAACAGATTTAGTGTCCAATGTTTTGCAGCAAATTTTCAAAGTAAATTTTTAAGAACGACTGTTACGTAGAATTAGGTTTAATGTCTCAAAGTCTTACGAAAACCCTTTAATTTGAGCACAACTTAAACTACTCTCTAACACAAACTTTCGACTAAATTACATTAGAGGTAAAATTTAAATCTTATAGTTAGAGAGCGTGCCCCTATAGGTTGGGTGGATGGGCGGGCATGGCGTGGGGCTCGACGTGCAACCACCTCCCCGTGGTGAGTCCTGGGTAGTTCTAGCCACAAATACAATGTGGTGTGAAATAGCCGAGAGTTGCACGATTTCATTATAACACTCTAAAAGTTAGGGGTTGTGCTCAAATTAATGGTGTTTTGCCCTGAGAGGTTATTTAACGTAGTTCAACCACAGGTATCTCGACCGCCTTTTATTCAAGAACGCCTGGAACCTCTTTCCTCTGTATGAAGTTGTTTTATTAACCGTTGGCCCGTATAGATGTTTTTTAACACATTTAATATAATAATCCTTTATTGTTTAGTTGAATCCATCGTCATCCAATTATGGGTTCACTGCAATCTATAGTGCATTATCCGAATATGCAAAGAGGTACCCAGTTTTGCTTTAGATTTTTCATCATTGAACGCCCATTGAACCTGCGGTTTGCCGTTTTTGAAACTCCGAGACGGTCCCGCCAACCTTCACCAGGAGCAAGGATGAAAATCTTCTGGTGGCGCTCGAGAAACCCACACCGACTGCCGACTTCTGCAGATTTATTGTAACGTGATTTAAAATTAATTCATATACATATAATTGTCACTCTTTTATTTTCTTAATTTAACATTATTTTAATGTAATTAATTCGAGTTGAGTTCTAAGGAACCGATTTGCACTGGAATCACTGATAGATCGTTGCAGCACACACCGCCGTCTACATCATATAGTACAGTAATGCTTTACCTGGTAGGGCGTTTGATCCTGTCTACGGAAGAACCCGTAATGGAGATGGAGATGTACCCAAATGGAGTGGCGTGGAACCGCAAGCAGCACAAATCTAATTTAAAGATTGGTGAGAGAATACCTGTATTGAACCTCAGCGTGAACACTCTTTTAGAATAGATCATACCTTCTTCGTAAACCTTTTGATTTTTTTACTCTGATAACCTTTGTATTCGAACTAAAACTATGAGTGAATAGAGAAAATAAGGATACAGGCAAAATCTCAAAAAAATAATTCCTCTGTACCGCAACGCAAAGTAAAACTGTCTGATTGATTGCTCACATAGCTGGAAGCTTAATCACTGATTAATTTTGTCATTTTTACGATTCCAATTCCGATTTTTCCAATATCATTTGCTATTTTCTAATAGTAGTTGAACATACAGTCGACTATGTTTTCTGAATGCTGTTGTTATTTTTTACGCTAAATCTCTGATCTTTTCAGTTGCCTGCACGACACGTTCGCAGATATTTACTGCACGGAAATGGGTATCCGCCTTCATGGAAAAAGAACGACAAAAAGCTGACAGGTGAGTCCAATTTTGAACCATTATTAACTATGTTAGGCCAGTGAATTACCATTTCTAGTGACATTACGTCCCTCTTATGCATGTTCTGTGAGAATTGTACCTACCTACCTGCTATCTTGTAAGCTGAAACCTATTACTTAACCCAGTACTTCTGCAAGGCAATCTAAAGAATCTAATTACAATTCCAGAAGAATGTTTGGAAACATTTTTGGAAGTTTCTCGCAAATTTTGAAACTTCTGACATCTTCGAAACATCCTTACAAACCCCCCACATTTGATAAATTCACTACTACTTATACTTACCTTGTAGCGCTCGTAACTTATTTCGAATTTTCTAGAGCACCCCACCAAAAAATGTATTGGGTTTTCACGGTCGCTAATTGTGTAGGAAACGGATGCGAGACTCGTAATTCCTTCAACAATTTATCTGTCAAAAGGATTTTTTAGAAATTGTAGAAATGTTCTTTAAAACATCTTTTTCGTTTAGAATTTCTTCGCTCTTTGAAACCGTATAAACTGTATAAGTTTCTTTGGAAACCTTTTTGAAATCTTTTAGGAGTCTGTAAGATACATTTTCATTTTAAAAATTGTTGGGTGACTTTCTGTAAATCTCTTCAGCAAGTTTTTGGGAAAATTTTTGAAACCGTTCTGACAGAAGAAGACATCCTGAGAATCTTTAAACTTGCTTAGAGATAATTAAGCTGAATGTCCTCCTAAAAATTTTCTTAACATTTCTTAGATGTTAGGAATATTAAAAATCTGTTTAGAGCACCTTTGGGCCCATTCTTAGAATTTTTTTTGACTCATGTTTAAGCATACCAGGCAAGCTGATATTTTTTATTTAGCTCCTACACGAATCTGACTGACGTGATTTTCTTCTTCTTTAGTCCAATATAAATCAATTTCTTTTTTAAATATCTTTGAGAGCAAAATAGAAATCGGTTCAAATCTTCTTTAAAAACACCTTTCTGCCATTTGAAAGCAATATTTAGGTTTTAGAAATATCACAATTTTTTGTGCGGCCCCTTCAGATGTTTTTAAGTGATTCCTGTATAAAGAAAAGCATGTTTAAGAAAGCAAATGACTCCGATCGGATGATAAAGGTCCTGCCGATTTCGATCAGTTTGCAAACTGTGACATCACTATATTGTTCACTTAAATTTGCGTTTTGTTTCAGAAAACAGATGAACGCCAGCTTTCGGTGAGTGCTTTTCTTATTATTTGCATGTGTGATTTTTAACATGTAAGATCAGTGAACAGTGCACGAAAATTGGCAACGAAAAACAGAAGGCTCAGAAGCTTCTGTAGCCTTCTGAGCGAGCCCTACAACCCTTCGAATGATTTTTAATTCCATTTCAAAGGGCTCGAAATCACTTAAGACCCAACGTACTAAAAATCGCTCTAGGTAGAAAATATTTTCTGAAAGCTTTGTTAGTCTTAGAACCCTTTGCATAGCAATCTGTAGCTGCTAAGAAAATCCTACAGCCTTTTGAATAATTTTTATACACTTTTTAAAACCCTGGAAAAAAGGTACACTTCGATCGCTAAAAAGCCTTCAAGCTTTACGGGTGGTTAGTAGGTATCAACGTCACTTTTGATCTAGATAGTCTATGGATCATTTAGTTCATAGATAACACCCTTAAATTTCTTTTCATTCCATCCACATAAGCTGATCTGATGAAAAGGGTGCCTATCGCTTCTTGAAGAAGTTGAACCATGGTATAATAATTGTTATCTATGCAAAATTAAAACGATGACGTAGGTTGGCGGATTAATAATTTAATTTATTCTGCGGCGATCAATTTCGGGAAGATCTCATCATTATTATCTAGTTGAACCATGGTATAATACTTGTTAGCTAGATCCCTTTCTAGTTGTTACTCTAAAGTTTGCTAGATCCAAATAGATGTTCATCCTTATCATATCTTTTCCTCAGAAAGAAAGACATATCGGTAGGCATTTCCTCGTATCATGCTTTCTCATTGTTGCAAAGAGGATGGATATTTTTAAAACAAGGTTAAGTATAATAATGTAGGTATCTTATTTACTATTAGAAAATCATCATCAACTTACTTTACGTTTTGTTATGGCCTGTAAAAAAAGTACATACTGTATTAAGTAGCCATTTTTATTACGAATAACACTTACCAATCGGCAAAGTTACAAGAAAATTGCACAACAATTAAAAAAAATACATTATGTCTCTTGCATATTGAAAATTGAGACCATATTTGTAGTTAATATGGAAATTAGCTCTTGTTTTGATCTGTACTATTTTATTTTACCTTGCACCATACACATATTTTATAGTTATCTCCTTTGGAAGGATGTAAGGCGTCAAATATTTTCGTTTCGTTGACTGATCATGATGTATGAGGTATTATATCTCTCTATAAATGCACATAAAGATATATACCCTCGTCCTATCTGAGGCGCTTTCAGAAAAATTCGATTTAATTTTGTATGAGCATGTCCTTAGAGGGATGCAAGGTCTGCAACGCGTTAAATATTTTTTTTCACTACTAGCGTCTGATGACATGATTATTAACCTTTTTTCCACTTGTAAAGTAGACTTTCTCGGCATTTGTTCAAAGTGGTTAATAATTTTTTATTATTAACTAGTAGTCAATAATGAGAACTGTCACGCTATCACTTTTAGAAAACACAACCCGAAATTTCGCTCAATGAACGTTCAGACAAGTTCTCTAAAACGAATAATTGCCACCATTCGCAATTTCCAGAGAAATTACATACCTAAAATTATCACATTTTGAAAAAATTCGAACGAAATTTCTCTTTGAAAAATCTCAATGACAGAACAAAATACGGCCTGTTTGACTTGTACTTCCACGTACTTGATTGACATGTTAAATTAAGAAACAAAAAATTCTGTTCAACCGTTCACTTTCTTATCAATATAATATGTTAATTTAGAGGATTTCAAGTGCTAGTAGTGAAAAAAATAGTATATATACCACGGTAGAGAAGTCTATTATTGCCATCGCACCTTACACCCCTCGGCGCAAGCGCCTCGAGATGTAATCTTGGTGCTCAGGCAATAATAGTGGACTTCTCTACCTTGATATATAATGTACTATTATTTTGTTATTTGATTATGAGGCCTCACTATTAACCCTGTAAACGTACATAAAAATACATACCGTCGCCGTTGTGATATTACGTAATTTTCCACATTTTATTTCGTATCATCTTTTTTGGAGGGAAATTCTGCTGCGGCATTACAATACAATGTAGGTACCTCAAAGATTCGTAAATTTACGAGCAAAGAACTAATTAAAAAAAAACATGACAAGAAGAAATGAATGAAATCAATCTTTTGAGGTACTTTTATACTTATCCTAACTACTGCATTAGAGATTTACTTAGAAACAATTTAAGAAATATTAACAAAAATGAAAAAAACTTTTTCGCCTTAAGGTGAGTAACTTTAGCGCATTTTCCATGAATTGATCAGGAGTTCCCAAAAGGTCATTATATTACTACCGATGTAAGAAGGTAAACACTGCCTATTTTAGATATTTTTACTTTAAATCCAATGGCGTAGTCAAAAAAATTTTGGACCACTGAGATGTGACCCAAAATTGGTATTTTTTAAATGCAACAACGTGTATATCTTAACGTCAATTTTTGTTTCCTTTTTCCTGATTACAGTGATCTATTACATCCTATATTTTTTTATATAATTATATATGTATATCATAGTTTTTAAAATTTTAAAATTACATGTTTCTACTTTAAGCCATTTTTATTGAATGGTATCGACTGCCTTACCATGGATAAGCAAAACAAAATCTTCACGAATCCTGGGGTTACTACTTAAAAACAATAACATATAAGGTTTTTATTGGTTTTCATGGCTAAAATCACAGATTCTAAAATATATAAGGTTGTGATACATCAATATAATCACGAAAAAGAATGCAAAAAGAATGACTTTAAGATATACAGGGTGTTACATTTAAAAAATACCAACATTGAGTCAAATCTCAGGAATGGTGGTGCATAATTTTTTACTACGCCACTGGATTCTACATAAAAATATCCAAAATAGACAGTATATATAATCTCTATCTTTAAAAACGGCTGTGAGCTGAGATACACTGCAGTCTCAACCAAAATAGGACACACGGTACAGTCTATGGCCGAATTTTTAATAGCGACTACAAACAATTGCATGAAAGAATGGATCGCGATGGACTTCTCTGTTCGCATTTTTCATTTAGAAAGCTGGAAAATTTTTTAGATGCCCTCCTTTAAGAAACCGCTTCGTCCGTCCCTGCATCCCTCTGGTCATAATTCTTTTACCATTATGAAAACGTCTTGAAGCAAAATTGTACACAATTATCGTCGCCATGTTTCTAAAATATTTTTTATCGCCAGGGGCGTGCTGTATTCCTGCGCGGTATCAAACATGCGTTTGTTTAAAGCACACCCCCTTTTTTATTTTTTTCTAATAATAGTTTGTGTAGGTGGTTGCAATTTAAAATTTAAAACAAATGACATTTGGCAAAGGTCAATCAAAAATTTTATTTTTTTTTTACAAGGAACCTTAAAAAATTATGTAACAGTGGGAGAGGTCTTAGCCTATGCCGCAATTCAAAACGTAGCCGTCAAACAGTGGGGTACTTGAATTAATTAGCTGGGAAAAATTGTGAATATTGCCTGATTTCAATAAAACTCGCTGAATACTTTTATCTTGCAATAAAAATTAAAAAATGTATATGTATGCGTATGAGAAGTATTGAAAAAAATTGAAATAAATACAACATTTAAATATAGGATAATATGTAATAGAAACAGAATGTGTCCAAGGGGGTCACGAAAGACACGGGAAAAATTAAAAACAATTATTGATATTATAAAACAACTGACTATAAAATGACTTTGCCGAGCTCCCTATGAATTATAATTTTTTTTAAATACATAACAAAAACGTTTAGAAGAGCTGTAGTTTTTCAAATCGTAACAACCACGTTTAGCTTATTAATAAACATTATTACACATCATATTAGATAAGTATAAGACAAGTAATAAATCCAGTGAATTTTACAGTCAGTTGTTTTATAAAAACAATAATTTTTTTTAATTTTTCCCGTATTTCTCGCGACCCCTCAACCCAAAGAAGGGGTCGGTTGACTTTACTAAACTAGCTGCACTATCTTACACTACCATAACAATAATTATTTATTTATTTTTTAGCCTATAGGATTTTGGTAATGTAATGAGTAGATTATTGATCGGTAATCAATTTGAGAACGGACTAGTGTTCTATAGATCATTAATAGTGTTGGTGTGCCCCTCCCCCCCCCCCCATTCATTATTTTAGAGCGCTTTAAGTGTGCCGAGTCTAGTTCTGCATTTGGTTTTAAGCTCTTGTTAAGTACGTTCACCAAAAAAAATGTTTATCGAAGGATAATCCCAGGAGTTTGATATTGTCATTGTCCTTTTTTTCTGAAATGTGTCGCCCTCGATTTCAAGGCGAAAAATGTGAAGCCTGCGTGTGGTTCGACCAGCTTACTAGTTTATCGGTTGTACGTTGAAAATTTTGTTAAATTGTGGTTAGAACTTTTCCACGGCAATATATCATTAGGTCGTCTGCGAATAATCGAATGCATACCGGTAGACTAAGACTGGTTACAATGTCAGTTATTGCTATAACGCTATAAGGAACAGTGCTACACTAAGTATGGAGTCTTGTGGGAACCCCATTCTTTTGGAACATGGTGCTAGAGGAATGTCCGTTGTATTTCACTTTAAAACGTCTTTCTTTGAGAAATTTTTGGATGTACGCAAGTATGTTGCCATCTAATCCGAAATTTCTGAGGGGAATGGTTTGCCTGAAGCCACTCTGATATTTTGAGAGAAGATTGTTGTGCTCTAAAAACCAGAAAAGTCTGTAGCTTACTACTTTCTCTATCAGCTTGCAGAGTGTAGCATGGCCTGTAGCTCAAGGGGTTGGATTTGTCTTTTTTCGGTTTGTATATTGGTATCACTATGACCTCTTGCTAATTGTGGGGAAAAATGTGGTTGCTCCAGATACTGTTGTATATGTCGAGTAATTTGGCTTTGATTTGGTCTATTTTGGATTAATACAAATGGAATATTCGACTACCTTTTCACTAGTGTTTGTAAGATGTACACTCATGTACAGTCGCAAATGGTATTGTAGCAGTTTAAATC